CAAACGCTATTTCTTGAATTTTTGAGGTCACGTGAAAATAAGAATTCTCAGTGTAACACTTGATGGAGGAGGGATCATATTAAGAAGCGCTTGTGACATCCATCATAGAGTTTTGAGTCTATAGATTTTTTGAAAAGCACTAATAAGCTGCTCGTCATTTATCCGACAACTGTTGGGCAAAGAGATCCTCAAGTAAATTCATGAAATGTATTTTCCAGCTTAGACCTAAAGCAAAGCAGGACCGAGATGAAGATCCAATCGACTCAGCTGCTCTCTGTCACAGCTCACCGCTTTCGATTTCCCCGTCAAGTATTAGACAACAAACATACGTAGCAAACAAATCTTGTGTGAAAAGCTCCATATGTGATGAGAATATGCGAAAAAATGCACTTAATTCAACTTTCCTCCCTTCATTATTCAAATCATAGGAAATGGTACTAACCTGATAATATTGGTGCCATTCCAACAGTAAGGCTGCTCTGAAGCCTCTGTACACATCCGATCGCCAATCTGTGTCCAGCAGCTTCGCAGACCAGCCAGCTGGAAAATTGTCGTATGACTGATATCTTTGATAATTCAAAGAGTAGAAAACGAACCTGCTCAACAAGTTTTTTCATTCGTGCTTTCAATTCTTTTGGCTTCTGAAGTCTTCCATGCGTTGAAGCTGTTACGCGTACATTATTCTTTTGCAGCGGTCCACATCTATCCACCACAACCTTGGCCAAATTCGGTGCTTTAGTCTCGACTAATCTTCGTACACCAACCGCAATTCCATGAACGAGCTGTAAATGTTCTATGTACCTCACTTGTACTTAATTTTCTGGCGAGCGTAGTTCAATCTGTGCAAATGCGGTCGCAGGTGCAAGCGATTCCCATAAGGTCGCTCATACTCGAATCTCAACCCGAAATATGCTTTTCGACATTGGCAGCTCCGATTACTTTTGAAAATCTGGGAGAATTCAGCACTTATAACTACATAGAGCACCTTTTTATTTAAACGTACATCGTGAAAGCCGCCCTCATAATTTCTGGTAAGCTCGTACAGCTCATCGATGTTCTCTTCCCAGTTTTGCGAAAGATTTTTCAAACATCCAGATGTTGCTTGTTGGCAAGAG